CTGGGACTTGGAAAATAATAACTCAAACCCATACTCAAATCCGTGCTAAGAAAAAGATGCTTTTCTTGGTGCCTGGTTCACCTTGTTCTTGTTTTTTATGACCAATGCCAAACCCCTTCTCCTCCTACTCCATCCCCGTCTCTCTCCTCCTTGTCCACTGCACTTTCCTGCCAGGACACGTGATCCTGCTTCCACTCCCTATGGAGAGAGGATTTTCTTTGTCTCCTGCCTGCTCGGTTCTGTCTCTACCCCCATTTGCTTGGTTCTTTCTCTATCTCCTCTTCACTCTGTACATAATCTGGCCCTATGGGAACCACCTACTCAAAGTCTCAGGGTCTCACACCTTGTGCTTGTCTTCTTTTTTTTTTTTTTTTACAAAAACTTTGTTGAGAATTTCATACATATATATAAGGTGTTTTGATCTAATCCATGTCCACACCCTCTCCTCCAAAATTCCTCCCTCTGAAGAGGTAACCCTAAAGTCTTTTAAGTTTTAAGTAGATAAGAGCTCCAAAATTCTTTTGACATTGTTGGCCTTGGGAACAGAGTATGTTGCTAACAGGCCCAAGGACATTTTAACTTTTAGCCAAGAAACTGACTACATTTCTTTGGGGTCTTTTTACCCTAACTGCCTAGCCAATTCCTACCTCCTATTCTTATCATGCTATCCTCTTAAGGGGTTACCCAAGTTGCCAGTAGGGAATAGGGACATCGACCACTATGGCTTCTTTCATGTTGAGCAGGGACGCAGGGTGAGGCTATTGGAGTACCCCTTCAGTGGGTCTATCTAAAAGACTCCCAAATTTCATAACTCTTGTCTCTAAGGAAAGAAGTCCTCGAATCATGAATAGGAGATGTGAAGGAGAAGTAAAGGCAAGAGTAATTAGCATTACAAGTTTTAGACAGGGGACTAGAAAAAAGTCAGAACAAGGCAATTTTGCATTGGAATATCTTGACAAGGGCCTCTAAAAGCATCCTTCTATTGGATTCTTCCTCATTTTTCTTTTGTCTTCCAAGGCTTGACTCTGGAGTGATGGATTCAGGATTTACTTTCAGGTACTTTGATAGGTGTTGGAGTAGTTAGCACCAGTGTCACTTCCTTCTCAAAGGCTTCTAAATAGGGGCAAAAACAAATTTATCCATCATTTTAGAACAATAGCTGGTTGTCTCCCTTAGCTACAAGGTGGGCACTACAGTATTGGAGACCAAGATTTGAACTGTTACATCTGAGCAGCACTTTCTGGTTAGGAACAAAATAAACAATGAGAAATAATTGTCCAAATAACTTTTTATATAGACTTAAGCCGTCACTTCATTCTGATCAAAGGAACAGTTAACCAAGAAGATATTACGCAATCCTTAACATATGCACCAAACTCTGGTGCACCAAAATTCATAAAAGCAACACTACAGGACTTGCCAAACAGGCAAGACCTGAAAAGAAACTCTCCATGGCACATCATAGTAAAAACACTAAACGTACAAAACAAAGATACAATATTAAAAGCTGCAAAAGAGAAACAAGTCACATATAAAGGAAAACCCATTAGGATTACAGCTAACTTTTCAGTGCAAACTATGAAAGCTAGAAGCAGCTGGACCAAAGTATTCCCAGTTTTAACTGACCACGGATGCCAACACAAATTACTATACCCAGCCAAAATGTCTATTATAGTCAAAGGGGAAAGAAAAATCTTCCATGACATAAATAGGCTTAAGGAATTCATGTCCACAAACCCTTCAGAGAGTTCTAGAAGCAATACAAAGAGCTGAAGAAAGTACTTGGGGTTCCTTCTTACACCTACATCCCGCCGTTTAGCTATAGAGAGGACAAATTACCTAAGGTCTTTAAAGCCCCCCCACAACCAAGGAAGAAATTCTATCTTCCCTAGGCATTGCAGGGTACCTGTGCACCTGGATTCCTAACTTTGCCCTCTTGGCAAAGCCACTCTAGGAAGCCTCCAAAGGGAACAGCCCCTAAGCCCACTGATCCCTTAGAGGCCTTTATGGCAGCATTCCACACTATCTGGGAAGCGCTCTTAAAGACACCAGCTCTAGCTCTCCCCAACCTGGAATGTCCATTCCTCCTCCATACAACTGAGAATGAGGGCCAGGAATTAGGGTCTTTGGGACAGATGAAGGGGTCCCACTTTTGCCCCGGTAGCTTATCTGTCTAAACACCTTGATACCACTAACCAGGGGTGGCAACCTTGTCTTCGTGCTCTGGCCTCTGCCACTCTCCTGGCTCAGGAGGGACTTGAGCTCACTTTTGGTCAGCCCATCTCTGTCCTTTCCCCCGACCAGCTTAAGGATTTACTAACCCACATGTCTTTTGCCAATTTAGCTCCCTCTAAACTGCAATTCTTCCATGTCACGTTTATTGAAAACCCCTCACTCACTCTTGATTCCTGCCCTCCTCTCAATCCAGCTTCCCTCCTCCCTTCCAGTGAACTGCTCACTTATTCATGCTGGGAAACTCTTCAGGAACTCTCCTACTGGGATCCCCTAATTTCCCCAGATCCCCTACCAAACCCAACCCTGACTTGGTTTATGGATGGAAATTCAACTCTCACCCCAAAAGGGTCCTGCATGGCAGGGTATGCCATAGTGTCTCTCACAGATGTCATCAAGTCAGGACCCCTGCCACTTGGAACCACGTCACAAAAAGCCAAACTTGGGGCACTCACCAAGGCCCTAATTTTAGCCAAAGATGACCTCTTACTCCAGCATCCCTCCCCTCTACCTGCCTTCACCCTTCTAAGAAAACTACTCAGGGAACATGCTGACCGGATTATGCCTCAGGCTTCTAAAGGCAAAATTAACCACCCACTTCAACCTGGAGATCATATCTACCTGCAGGTTCACACCCAACAGAAAGGAGTGAAGGAAACCCTCCAGCTGCATTGGACCTGTCCTCACCTGGAGATCCTGTCTACCCTGATGGCAGCCAAGCTCTTGGGACAACATGGTTGGATTCTTCTCTCCAAATTAAAACCAGCCAAGAAACACAGGCCACCAGTATCAGGCCTCTTAAATTGAAAATCTCGAGGATCCCTCCCTTAACACCAATCCAGGAATGAATTTTTTACTGACCCTATTTCTATTCTTACCTCTGAACCCCACCTCAGCCATTCCCCATTGCACCTACCCACTGTGTTTCTATAAATTTAAAATGAGACAAAGATAATATATAGATAATCTTAAAATTTCTAAGGTCATAGCTAGTCAACTAATCTAAGGATGTCTAGTCAAGGTTTATTTAAGAATGTTGCCCAAGCTTTAGCTACATAGCACATGGTAATTAAAAGTACCAGACTGGTGTAACAAACCTTGTTGGATGTTTAATAGCCAGATTTTGAGGCCTATACTAATCTGGTCAGAGGGACTTAAAGGGACAAATTTTTGTTCCTTGCCCTCCAAGGTCAAGTAAGTTCCAGAGGGCTATGGAGCATCTCTTGAAATGTTCTGTAACTGTGGTGAGTCACCTGTCCTCTTGTTCAGGGAGGCCATGGAGACCCCAGAAGATGGGCTTGAACCAGTGTCCTGTCTACAATGAGGAGGGTTAACACAGAGAAAACATTTCCCCCATGCTTCCAAGTGAAGCCTCAGTCAAGCAGGACCTCTTGATTTATCTTTACGTAGATGGATCTGATAAAAGAAAAGCCTGAGGAGCCAGGGGCTCCCCCGATGGCCCCTGAGGACCAAATCCTCATATGACCTCATATGACCAATAAATTGATTTATTTGGGCCAACAGTATGGTCTTAAATACCCAAAAGGAAAGTATAACCAAAAATTAAAGCCATCAGTATATTTTAAGAGTTCAAGTGATTATACAATCCAGACATTAGACTTAAGTTCTTATGTTATTTAGACAATTATCTCTCATTGGTGATTTTGTTCCTAATAAGACAATGCTATCCAGATGCAAGACTTCAAATCTTGGTCTGCAATACTGTAGTGCCCACCTACAGCTAAGGGAGACAACCCTTATTGTTCTAGCCTAAAAAATTAAATGATGGCTAAATTTGATTTCTCTCCCTACCTCAAAGCCTTTGAGAGGTAGACACTGATTCTAGCCACTCCAATAGCTATCAAAATGCCTGAAAACAAATCCTGAGTCCATCACTCTCAAGTCCAGCCTTGGCAGAAAAAAAAGAAAACTATTGCCTTGATGCTAACCATTGCTCCTTGCCTCTACAAATATTTTCAGGACAAAATCCAAAAACTAACTCATACTAATTTTAATCAGTTTTTACTTTCCTTCCCTCCACATGTATATGAGCATCTGTCAACCATCGAGGACCCTGTTTAGATGCACAAAGAGAGAACCCCTGTTGTCTGATCCAACCCTAATCCAGCCCCCCCACATCCACCTTGTCCAGCAGGAAGTAGCAAGATAACAATGGTGCCTCTATCCTATAACAAAAAAGGCTGGAATGTTAGGGTTTAGATCCACAGCAGCCCACCCCTCCCCCCAACAAGGCCTCATGGGTTCTGCAAGCCCCTGAGAACCAGGAACTGAGTGGATAAGCACCCTGGTCTTGGAGGTCACGAGAAGACTTCTGCACCTTTTGGCCAGCACAGCAGACTTTCCCTTTGATCTCCCACCTTCTGCACCCCCAAAGCCCTCCTTTTAAAGACCCCAGCTCACGGCCTGAGGACAGACATTTTCACTAGCTGGAAGGGAATCTGTCCAGTGGGAGGTTTCCTTTGCTAATAAACTCTATTCCGCAGGAATTTTATCTGTGTCCTAGTGTTTTCTCCCAATCAACCCGATTCATCCATCAGCTTCTTCATCTATCAGAGATCAGTATCAACTTGATGTCTAGTTTGTTCTGTGATTCTTGTGTGTAGCATCTTCAGCAATACGGTCTCAAGAATTCTCAAGTTCTTGTGGGTAACCAAGAGCAATGGCATTAGCAAACACTATCTGAGGTCTTATGGCATACTCCAGTCAACAACTTCAAAAGAGATAATTCATTCTTTTTGTTTTAAATGATATATTTCTGATCTTGGCACCAATAGGGGTTCTGACAGCTCCCACCAGTGAACCAAGACCAGGAGATCTTCTTCAAGAACTCTAGCACACCAGGACAAGTAACCATGTCAGGATGTGACTCTAGTCTCAAAGATATTCATTCTTAATATTTGCTTTTTTATTTGTTAACATGTAAACTGAAAAATCAAAATGGGTGAATTTCTAGATATATATGACCAAACAAAATTAAATCAAGATGAAGTAAATTATTTTAATACACCCATAACAACCGAGATAGAAGCAGAATTAAAGTCTCCCAAATAAAACTAAAAAGAAATTTAAAATCTCCCAAATAAATTAAGCCCAGAACAAGGTGAACACAGAGGAGAATTCTAGCAGATAGTTAAAGAATTAATACCAGTACTCCTCAAATTATTCTGTAAAATAGTAAAGAACCATTTCCAAACTCTTTTCACAGAGCTAGCATTACCCTGATATGAAAACCGAAGCTCCAAAGACAAAAAAAAAGTGTAGACCATTATCTCTGATTAACGTAGATGGAAATAGTCTCAATAAAATATTTGCAAACTGAATGCAAGATTAGATAAAAAATATTATTCACTGACTAGACTCCTGTGGATGCATTTACACTGAAGGACATTTGGGTACAAACACCAGGACTCAGCATGTATGAAAGAGTACACAGGGTTTGGTGGGAGAATGGGGGAGAAATGGATGGGGGAGGGGGCCTGGATTTGAGTGGGAAATGGTGTATGAAATTTAAAAAGCTCAATAAAAAATGTGAAAGATTATTCACCATGATCAAGTCAGCTTCATCCCAGAGATGAGAGGTGGCTCAGCATACAAAAATTATAAAAGCAATCCACCACATAAATGGACTCAAGGACAGAAACTACATAATTATCTCTGATTTTTAAATTTTACTAAATATTTTTTATTATTTTTATTTTATGTGAATGAGTATATTGCCTGCATGTATGTAAGGGCTTCCATGTCATGCAATGCCCACAGAGCTCAGAAGAGGGCATCAGATTTCCCTGGAACTGGAGTTACAGATGGTTCTTAGCTGCCATGTGGGTGCTGGGAATTGAACCCAGGTCCTCTGCAAGAGCAGCTAGTGCTCTAACCGCTGACACATCTCTCCAGCCCCTTCTTTAATTTTTTAAAATGTGAACACTTCACATCTATTTACTGTCCTCTTAGAATTTCCTTGACTTATGTAACTTATGACTTCATTTTGATGATTTTATAAATTCTTAAATTTTTTCTATGACCCACTGGTTGCTCAAATGTTTATTGTTCAGACTAAAATTATTTGCGTATTCTCTGAGTTTAGTCTTTCTAGTTATTTTCGGTTTTATTCAGTATGATCTGATAAGACGCAGGGAATTGTTACATTTGTTTGGTATTTGTTAAGGCTTGCCTTGTGGTCTAATACATGGTCAAATTTAGAAACATTTCCATGTGCCAGTGAGAATGTGTATCCCCTATATTTTGAGCAGAATTTTCTGCAGGTATCTGTTAAATTTAGTTCTTCTATAGTGCAATTTAGCTTTGAAGTTTCTTTGCTGGTTTTTAGTTTAAAAGAGCTACCTAGAAAAAGTCTTCCATTATTGCTGTGTTGGGAACTATGGGGTACTTTATGCCTTTCAGTGTCTGTTTTATGAAACTGGAAAACCCAAGATTCAGAGCATTAATAAATTATATCCTCTTGATTTGTTCCCTGTATTAATATGCAGTGTCTGCATTCATCTCTTGGGACAAGTTTTGCATCTGTGTCCTTTATCATATATGCGAGTTGCTTTACCAGCTTGATTACATCATCCATTTGCTTTGTGGTCTCATTTCCAACCCTTAACTCTCAGTTTTTGGATGTTTTTCCTCATTATGCAGATTTCTTAGAGAAAAAAGTTGTGTCTTATTTTTCAGTCTAGTCAGTTAGTCTGTGTCACTTTAAATTGTTGAGTCATAGCCATCCGCACGCAAGGCTATAATTGAAAAGGATTTGTTTATGTATAAGGATACATATTTTGCACATAGTAAGAAATCACATTGTTTATGACTTTGTTGTTTGTGGTTGACTTATTGGTAGCTCTTTACTTCCCATCCTGGTAGTGTTGGATATTTCCTGATTTGTTTTGTCAGACATGATTGATTTCTTCCCTGTTCTCCTCTGCTCATTTGTTAATGTCGTGAAGTGTACTTTGTCCTTTACTTCACATGTGAAGCTATCTTATTTTTCCTTTGCACATACCGTTCCTTTAAGAATTGTCTTCAGTGCTGGCTTGGTTGTCATGACTTCCCTTAACTTGTGCTTGTATTGAAATGTTTTTATTCATCAATTTTAACAGATAATTATCCTGAGTATGGCAGTTGGTTGACAATTATTTATTTTAATGGCTTGAAATATAACATCTCATGTTTCCTGGCTTTTAGGGTTGCTGACAAAAGATTGGATATTCTGATAAGTCTATATGTTGATTTGTAGCTTTTGGCATTGTTGGTTTGCTTTGTATTTTTGACACCATTCCTGTGATATGCAGTGGAGATGTGCTTATCTAGTCTTGTCTGTTTCTGCCTCCTGTGTTTTGACATCTTTCTCTAGATTTGGGGGATTTTGTGATATTATTTTGTTGCATAGGCCATTGGAATTTTCTCAGCTCCTTCTTAGATCTCTTGGATTATTATGATTGGCCTCTAGAATGCATCCAATAATTCTTGGAAGTTTTGGTTATGCTCACTAATATTTTTCTTTATTTATGTCTGTATGTATTATTACTTTGACCTTGTCCTCCAACCTTGGGACCAGTTTTCCTGCCTGGTCTTTTTGTTGACATGCTTTCTGCTGGGATTTTTTGTTTGTTTGTTTTTGTTTGTTGTTTGTTTTTATTAAATGATTTGTTTAATTTTAATTTTTTAAATTTGTTTTTATTGAATTTTTGTGTATTTCATAGAGAACATCTCAAACAATCTTAATCACCTTTATACCCCTGTCCCCTTCGGCACCCTCCCATAGCTCCCCCCACTGGAACCCACGTACTCTGTCATTCCTGTTAGGGCCCACTGTGTCAAATCAGCGTCCCCAAACAATCCCCACTGCAAGTCCATCCACTGAGGTCTAGTCAGCCTATCTAGAGTCCCTTGTTTTAAGAAGATCAGCTCTTCTTCATCTAGTATCAATCAGTTGCCAATATTTCTTCAGATAAGATTGGGGTCTGCTGATCATTTTCCCAGTTCTATGCTGGGTTTTTGTCTGCCTGAGTTTTCACGGGACTTGTGTATGTTGGTACCATTGCCATAGAATCATATGAGCAGGTTCCCAGGAGCTTGTTTCAATATGGTCATGCACCTCCTCCCTGGCTCTTATAATCTTTCTGCCCCCTCTTCTGTGCTGGTCCCTGAGCCTTGGGTGGGTGAAGTTTAATATGAGTCCTGTCCAAGGACCAGCATTCAGCAGACTCTTGATCTCTATGCTTTGGCCATTTGTGATCTTTCGTGTTCCTGGCCCTCTGCTGCATGAAGGAGCTCCATTAATGAGAACTGAGAGATTCATTAGTGTCCTCTTCTTTACCCTTGTTTTTTTGTAGATGTTTCACTTAGGCCTGCAAAATTCATAGACAATGTTCATGAGTGACCAGTTGTGGTACTTGGTAATAGTCTCCAACTGGTGCAAAATGAGCTTCTTTGATGAGTGGTGACTGGGATATTTGTCTGTAAATGTAAGGATACATATTTTTCACATAGTAAGAAATCACATTAGTCTAGGGATGTGCCATGTGTATAATGAAAGGCTACATAACAAGAAACAGAACCAGACAGGAGAAACCTTCCTTTCAGTTGTTGGCCAGGGCAGTCCAAGAGACTTCCAAAATTACTCAGGCTATTGCCACAGCCCTTGATCTCCTTCCAGAACTTGAAGGTAAGACCCTAATGCTGAAGACAGAACATACTTTGGACACAGGATTTGGAACAACAGAGCTGCAACTCACCTGAAAGCTACTTCCCTTGAAGGCGAGCTCTCATAGCTTTGGAGGGAGCTATGAAGGTGCCAAAGGAAAACATCAATCAATGGTCCAAAACCAGCCTCAAGACCAAATAATGAGATCAATGGCCAGTAGTGCAGTAGTGGCACTTTTATCTTGGGGGCAATCAACAGCTACCTAATTGGACTAAAAGCCCACTCAATGGGAGGAAACTCAAGTGTGGTACTGTAAACATAAGCAAACACACATAGATCTTATTTTTATTATTTTTATTTTATGTGTATGAGTGTATTGCTTGAATGCATGTAAGTGCACCTATGTTATGCAATGCCTACAGAAGTCAGAAGAGGGCAGAAGATCCCCTGAGACTGGAGTTACTAATGGTTGCTAGCCACCATGTGTGTGCTGGGAATTGAACCTGGGTCCTCTTCAAGAGCAGTCAGTGCTCCCAAATGCTGAGCCATCTTTCCAGCCCTATTAATTATTTTATATTGAGAAGTAGTGTCTTGTTCTTTTTCAGTATATCGGTTTTCTTGCTGGATTTTACTTCCTTGTTTTAAATTTTTTTCTTCTATGTTACTGATATTTTCATCCAACTTGAAAATGTTCTTCTTTGTGTTTTGAAATGGTTTTATAAAGTTCTTGTCAGATCTTGAACTGGATTCATTATCTATTTCTTTGAGTTCCCTTTTTGAACATTGATCCTTTTTAAGGATGGGACTCTAAAATGCTTTTCTAGCATTTCAACTATTTTTATCATCGTTATTTTCCAATAGTGAGAAACTATTAGCTTATGGGCGTGCCATGTTCGCTGATAATTTTAAGAGTTTCTTTGTTGTTTTCTTCTCTTTTCTCAATTGAATTTATCTAATTTGGTACAATAGATTTGATCACATTTAGATCCCCTCCTCCATTTGTACTCCCTTACTACCTCCCCACCATATATGGACACTAGAAGATGGAAAGACCTCTCATTCTCATGGAATAGAAGAATTAATGTTGTGAAAATCACCATCCAACCATAAGCAATTGACAGATTCAGTGTAATTCTAATTCAAAAAAATTCCCATGTTATTCTTCACAGAAAAAAAAAGTCCTAAAATCCATATGGAAGCACAAAAGAACGCAGATAACCAAAGAAATCCTGA